TATATTATCCTAACTTTAGTTTGAGGTATTATTTATTACTATACCTGGTTTTCCCCCCAAAATTTCTCAGAGAGGGAAGAGCCAGCGAGTGTAGTGTGAGAAGTGGGGGAGGGAGTTGAGTCCATTATTTGAATGGACATTAACTTGGCGACTGTATTTCTCTATTTCTCTTAAGTATTAATTGTGTGCATGTACCATCATAAAATTAAGATGTTATTTTTACTAGAACATAGGTATGTGCCTTCAAAAAGTGGAGTTTGGGGGTCGGGCCGGTTTCTATTTCATTTAATCCCATATGTTATGTTATTCACTTTACGCGTTTCTCACTTTCCGCGGTACCCTGTGGTTTACATTAACCGCGTAAAGTGAGGGTTGACTGTGTGTGTGTATATATATATATATATATATATATATATATATATATATATATATATATATATATATATATATATATATATATATATATATATATATATATATATATATATATATATATATATATATATATATATATATATATATATATATATATATATATATATATATATATATATATATATATATATATATATATATATATATATATATATATATATATATATATATATATATATATATATATATACAATATTACCCGCCTAACGCGGTTTCATAACGCCTTTTATCATATGCGGTGCCTCGTAGTATGAACTTTCATAACACGGATTTTTCACATGTCTGGCGGTGATGTCGACTCGAGCATTATTTTAGATTTACCCACCGCCACCCTGCCTGACTGCCTGTTTTAGCTCATAAAATTCATACAAATTACCGACGAAATATAATTTACATTGCTGAATTCTTATAATTTGGTGATCATTTTGAATATAAACATCATATATTTTGCTTTAAACTTACAATTTTTAGATAAAAATTTTTCTCTAGGTAACTATGGTATCTTTTGTCCAAAATATATGACATTTATATTCAAAATATTCCTGGTCTTACAAGGAATCCAGCAATGTCAATTATATTATCCTAACTTTAGTTTGAGGTATTATTAAAATTTAGTGGTTATCCCACACATCTCCTTGGGACGGTTGGTGGGGGGTGGGGGGGAGGGAGGGACCGACCGACCATCTGTTACCCTGTGAAGAATTATTTTTTTATTTATTAACTGAAGATATTTTTTTTAGCTCATAAAATTCATACAAATTACCCGGTCAGAATATAATTTCCATTGCTGGAATTCTTATAATTTGGTGATCATTTTGAATATAAACATCATATATTTTGCATTAAACATACAATTTTAAGATAAAAATTTTTCTCTAGGTAACTATGTTATCTTTTGTGCAAAATATATGACATTTATATTCAAAATATTCCTGGTCTTACAAGGAATCCAGCAATGTCAATTATATTATCCTAACTTTAATCTGAGGTACTATTTAATACTAAATGTTAAAAACTCTGGAAGGGAGGATTGGTGGGGGGTGGGGGGGAGGGTTGGGACTGACCGCGCGGTTGGAAGAGGGGGGGAGGCAAGGTGGGGTACTTTGATTGACAGATAGTGTCGTGAAGATTATTTTTTTTTTATTAACTGAAGATATTTGTTTTAGCTCATAAAATTCATACAAATTACCCGGTCAGAATATAATTTACATTGCTGGAATTCTTATAATTTGGTGATCATTTTGAATATAAACATCATATATTTTGCATTAAACATACAATTTTTAGATACAAATTTTTCTCTAGGTAACTATGTTATCTTTTGTGCAAAATATATGACATTTATATTCAAAATATTCCTGGTCTTACAAGGAATCCAGCAATGTCAATTGTATTATCCTAACTTTAGTTTGAGGTATTATTTATTAAAATTTAGTGGTTTTCCCCTAAAAATTTCTCTGAGAGGGAAGAGCCGGCAGTGTAGTGTGAGAGTGGGAGGGAGTTGAGTCCATTATTTGAATGGACATTAACTTGGCGACTGTATTTCTCTATTTCTCTTAAGTATTAATTGTGTGCATGTACCATCATAAAATTAAGATGTTATTTTTACTACAACATAGGTATGTGCCTTCAAAAAGTGGAGTTTGGGGGTCGGGCCGGTTTCTATTGGAATTAATCCCATATGTTCTGTTGTTCACTTAACTTGGATTTCACTTAACGCGGGACCCTCTGGGTTCAATTGACTGCGTTAAGTGGGGTACAACTTTAATATATTTATATATTTATATATTTTATATATATATATATATATATATATATATATATATATATATATATATATATATATACACAGTATATATATATATATATATATATATATATATATATATATATATATATATATATATATATATATATATATATATATATATTAATTATTTAATAAAGAAAACGATTAAAACATTGGCAAATACAGAAGAAACGAAGAATTATTGTGTTATTACTATAAATGAATATTAATTGTTTTATAAAAAAACAAAACAATTCAACATTGGTAAAAAAAACAAAATACAGAACAAATAAAGCACCAAGGAGAGAGATGATTGCAGGCATATTAACAATGTTTTTATTATTTATTTTTTACTTTAATTAATTGTCTTAGTTTTTTTTTTTACTATTTTCTATCCCAGGAAACAGTTATTTTCGTGTATTTATTGATGGGGATGAACACGGTGACGAAACGGGTAAAGCAGTGGTTACAAAAGGGTTTAAAATAGTGGTGACGATATGGGCAGACCCCATTTTTATGCATGTCTATATTTTGGTGACTTATGATCATTATAAACGTTTACATCGCCAAGTTTATAAATTGAAACTGCCAAATCTATTAGCCTGAAATCTGCAAATTGCAATAAAGTTATTATAAACCACATAGTGTGAAATATGTACTTGTAGTGCAAGGCCTGTGTGATGGAATAACATACTACTTATGTAATGAGATGCAACCATTTTAAAGCCTGCAATACATTTCCCTATTTCACTGCACTTTCCTACAAGATTTATGTAATCTTTTTTTGTAATCATAGATAAAGCTAAAAACCAAAAATGCATGGTACTGTATACATGCTAATAAGCATGGATTATCTCTTGAATTGGGTGTAAATAATCTTGGGCACGACTTATCTCGTGATTTGGGTACGAGATAACCCAAACCCACCGGTCCGACTAATTAACCAAATGTACCCAAATGTAGCTGCAATGAAGTCAAATAATGGTCCTACATGAATAAATCGGACTGCCAACCACTTCTCGACTAGTATTTGGTGTCACAAAGTCACAAAAAATGAGAAAACTTAATTTTAACTGAGTTAATAGAGCGCGTGCTTGTACCGAGGGAGCGAGTAATTACGCAAATGAACCCAAATGTAGTCGCAATAAAGTCAAATGATGGTCCTACAAGCGTAAATCGGGCTGTGAATCACTTCTCGATTATTATTTGGTGTCATAAAGTAACAAAAAATTGAGTTAGGTTAGGTTAGGTACATGCACTCGATCTATTAACTCAGATTAAATTAAGTTTACCAATATTTTTTTACTTTGTGACATCAAATACTAGTCGAGAAGTGATTGGCAGTCCGATTTATTCATGTAGGACCATTATTTGACTTCATTGCGGCTACATTTGGGTAATTAGTCGGACCCCTAACCCACTCTTACCACATCACGTACAAGTATACACTGCAGCATGCAGCATTCATTAATAGGATCTTTGAAATACTAGTAATGTGACGCCTTAAACATTTAGTCATGATAATAATAAACAAACAAAAACCTTTACTCCTCACGTGCAAGAAGTTGTCATCGGTATTATAATGCTGTACTGCAGTGACTTGTCCATTTGTTGTTGTCCATCAGCTGGGATGAGTTGGCAGGCGGCAGCGCATGCTGCAGTAGTACCAGATCAGCGAGTGTGTAACTTGCTACTTTTCAAAGGTAATTTGGAGAACTAGTCAATCAATACTCTGGTAACACTGCTGCCACTCAGCGGATCCGGGCAGGTGCACATGGCCAAGGGCCACTTTGTAGCTAGATCTAGAGCTTTTTGTTTTTTTCTAGCGACATTTTAGAGCGACTTGTCGCAAATCTAGAGATATCCACAGAAATCTAGCGACTTTCTGGATACTTTTGGACTGTCCATGAAAACTCGGTTTTCCTAATTTCGAGCCATAATATAGAGCAACGGGGTTACAGGGACAATACATTTGAACGGGTCTCAAATCAACTTCGTCAACACTTACCTGACAACATTCGTGTGCTGCAGTCTATTTCTTTTCTGAGTGCCGATGAATGCTTGAAGCCTATTAAATCAGATATACTTGGTTTGGCACACTTATTTACAGAAGATTCCAGCACCCTTACCAAGATTGATTTCCAGTGGAAAAAACTGCATCACACAATCTGGACAGAAACATCTAACACCCTAAAATTGTGGTCAGAAGTGGCAAATTACAGAGATGCGACAGGTGAAAACCCTTACCATGATCTGGCTGAAATTGCACTCGCTGCCTTATCTGTTCCGCATTCAAACGCAGATGTAGAGCGCACATTTAGTAATATGAACTTTGTGAAATCAAAATTGCGCAACAAAATGAAACTATCGACATTAAAGGCAATTCTTACAATAAAGTATGGGTTAAAAAGACAGAACACCTGTTGTGCAAGTTATGAACTTCCTAGTGATATTTTAAGAAAGATAGGGACTGTGGAGGCACACAGTTACAAGATATCTGCACGAGAACCTGAACCAAGCACTTCACATGCTTCCAGCTCTACAGTTGTTCACACTGCCGACGACTACGGAGAGGACTGGGATGCAATTACTATTGAATAATAGGTAAGTGTGCACATTAAACTTTAAAAAAAATATTTTTATTTTTACATAATGCATTTTATTTATACTCCGTCCATTATAGTCGGCATTATGAAAATATAATTTGCATCAAATTACTGAAGGGGGGGAATAATAGCTAGCGACTTTCCATGGAAGATTTAGCGACATTTAGCTACTTTTAGGTACCAGCCTAGCGACATTTGAAAATCCGAGCTGGCAACCCTGCCAAGGGCGACAACAGTGAAAGCAAAGCTTTTATAATACACATCACAACCTCCTGCGGGTGAGTTATAAAGGTTTTTGTTGTTTACTTTATTATCAAGCGTGGTTATTATTCGGTATAGCACATCTTCAAATCGCATAGACGCACTTACTTTAGGCAATTTTTACCTCATATATACATCCTTCAACCCTTGAAGCCTCTTGGAAACGTTTCTTTCAGAAAAAATCGCACAAGTGAGGAACGCCTAAGAAATTAGACCAATAAATCTCCACCCACCATTTCTAATCTTTACCTAACCTAACTTTTCTAACCGGTAATTCTATTGGACTAACCCGCGAGCGAAATTTATTGGAAAACAATTATAAAAATTGCCGGATTTTTATTGTTATATTATAGTGGACACTGTTGTAGTTTGTGGAAATATGTTTAAAAAAAAAAAAAAAAAAAAAAAAAAAAAAATATATATATATATATATATATATATATATATATATATATATATATATATATATATATATATATATATATATATATATATATATATATATATATATATATATATATATATATATATATAATAAATGCTAAACACTTGTGGGTATAAAGAGCAGACCTAACCAACCAAACCAAACAAAGGTATTATTGCGTTTACACACCGTTCATTCCTACCACTAATCTATTATCATATTCGAATAAGACGTCTAATTATAAGATAATTTTCATTAATTACATTACTGGCGGAAATGTATAATAACGGAGATAGCTTTTCCAAAAATTTTTCTATTTACTTCCATTAACCTCCTGCCATTATCGTCTGCCTCTCCTCCAACACTGCGTGTCTCTCGCGTCTCCTTCATAAATCATCACGCGCATGCGTTCCCATACACGTCACGTGGCCAATCAAAAGCATTTTTGTTTTTGAAACCAATTAAAATGATTTTGGGTTTAATTCGCGGTATTTGTGGCCCAATCAAATTCGAGTATTATTTTTGGTCTCATATTTCGAAATTCAAAATCAGTTCCCACCATGGAAACCTGCAATGGGTGTAACTTCAATTATTTGGAGTTGATTGCGAGTTTTTGGGAAAAAACGAAGAAACTCACATTTTTTCGTTCCCATGGTGTTCTTCCAAAATCAGTAAAGTGTCCTATGTGCAAGACTGAATGTACTAGAAGCTGCCCGCCTATACCCCCCGTTAAGTGAGAATCAACGTCAGCAATCAGGCCAGTAAGGTAAGAAATAGGTGATTCCATCATGTGGAGAGAGTCAGTTAACATCTTGCTTGGGGCTCTCCTGAACATAAACTATTTTTACATTTTTACAGTACAATTGTTGGTCATTCTGAAATTTGTTTTACAGTTTGACAATATATAGTGCAGTGCAGTGTTGATTTAAAGAAAATCATCTTGAATTACACCTAGTGAACTTAAAATTTTATGGGTGAAATGACGGCATGAAGCATGGGGTGATTTCTCTTCCACCCCCACTTCCTTCTCTTCTCCCTTCTCCTCCACCCCCACTTCTAATTCCCATCACCATCAACCAGGAGCCTTATACATACACACCTCAAAGAAAGTGTACTTTACTGCATTTATTTATACTTTGTATGTAATTTTTGGTGAGCTGGAACCAATTACCCAAAATCCCATTGAAACAATGGTTTCGGTTAACAAAATTTTCGGTTAATGAACGACCATCTAGAACGAATTGTGTTCGTTAACCGAGGGACCACTGTACAGTATAGTCTTGGTTTACGTGGTCAATTAAACCCGTGGAGGTCCGCGTAAAACGAGAGACGCGTAAACGAAATAACATAACATATGGGATTAATTGAAATAGAGACTGGGCCCACCCCCCAGACTACCCTTTTTCCTACACAATACGTATGTTGTAGTAAAAATAACATCTTAATTTTATGATGGTATGCACACACAATTAATATTTAAGAGAAATATCAATAATATTAGGTTTTTTAGTACTTACGTTAATAGAAGAGATGGCTGGGCACAGGGATGGGGGGTTGGTTCCGAGGCAGAGGGCAGATTATTGACCCTCACCTGTATCACTTGTATCACCTGTATCACTATCCACCACAGAGGCTTGCAGGGCCTCTTTGTCAAACCCCGTTTTCATACCGCATTTTTATCTTCATTTTCGTCTCAAAGTAATTGACTGTCTCCTTTTCTTCTGGATACCATCACCACTCTCACTTCTACTCTTTCCAGTCATTATAAAGTCAATTAAATACGAAAATAATGTCAGTACACTGGGAGATCAGTATAGGATACGACAGCCAAACACCAACTAAGCTCTTTACTGCGTGGGAGCTGTACCCACACGGTGACCCAAGCCACGCTCTCGTACGGGACGGAAACGTTTCGATATAGAAAATGCATGTCATTAGATAAATTTTTTGGTCCCAACCGCGCGGTCGTAAGTGCGGGTGGACGAAGGTCGAGTAGGTCGTAATTCGGGGAGGAGCTGTATACAGTGGGGTATGCTATAACGAATCTAATTGGTTCTAGAACCTTGTTCGTTATAGCATTCGTTTGTTATAGGATTAATCCGTTCCAGGCCCCCAAATACAACCACTTAACACTGAAAAATATAATATAAAATTGTAAAAATTGTAAAAAGTGCGTAAATATGGATTTAAACCCCTGAAATAAAGAATATAATTAATATTTGTAATAATAAAACAATAAATTAGAAAAAAAAAAATTTAAATTATGTTCGTTGTAGGAGTTTCGTTCGTTATAGCATTCTCAATTTTATAGGTAAAACTGTTCGTTATAGGAATATTCGTAGTAGGATCTGTTCGTTATAGCATACCCCACTGTATATATATATACCGGGTATATACAAACATAATGTAATCAAACGTAATACAATAAATACACAAAGTTATAATGTAATAAAAGAAATTTAATACGTGAACAATGGCCCAGTCAGTGTGGGCCAGTAATGAGCAAAACTGCTCGAGCTAACCACACACCATCCGAACCAATGTATTTCATACCCAGAACAGAAACTTATGGTGGACACTCGTAACACTGCACAGATCCTTATTGGTAGATGTAATGATATCAGCTCTCGAAACAGATCTAGTTTGAGAATTAAGGGGAAGGTGAAAATGTGAAAAAGAGTGAAGAGTAGAATCATCAATCCCGAACCCCTAATTTTTTTTTTTTTTTTACGGGGATTAGCCCACCTGGGCACAGGTCACTGACCCACATCGGGGCCTGGGGAGCGATAATGTAATAATATTAATAATGCTAATGCTAATAATAATAATAATACAGTCAATCCTCATATTACGCGGTTAATGTAACCCGGAGGGTACCGCGGAAAGTGAGAAACGCGTAAAGTGAATAACATAACATATGGGATTAATTGAAATGGAGTCCGGGCCGATCCCCAAACTCCACTTTTTGACGACACACAACTATGTTGTAGTAAAAATATTATCTTAACTTTATGATGGCATGCACACACAATTAATAATTAAGAGAAATATCAATAATATTAGGTTTTTTAACACTTACATTAGTAGAAAAGATGGCTGGGCACACGGGGATGGGCGGTTGGTTCCGAGGCAGAGGGCAGATTATTGGCCCTCACCTGTATCACTTGTATCAATTGTATCACTATCCACCACAGAGGCTTGCAGGGCCTCTTTGTCAAACCCCCAAAGTTCATATAAGTCCATATCCTCACTATAATTATCACTATCACTGACTTGGGCCGGCTGTAGTGGGTGGCGGGTGAAGAACTGGTAATGTTTTGATGACTGGGCGACCTTGTGCGCACCATTTTCGCGCCTCTTACACAACATGGCGGATGGCGGGAGGTTTGGATCCAAAAATGGCGCGGCTTGCCAGCCGCTCTCCGCGTAATGGGGTTCACGACCGCGGAATGTGAGCATGTTAGGTTCTGGCAAGGCACCGCGTTAACGGTGAAACGCGGAATGCGGGACCGCCTAATATGAGGATTGACTGTAGTAATAAAAACCATAAAGAAATGCAAAATTGAAAAAAAAAATCAAGAGTGAGAAACAATGTACCTGTATGTATGTTGTGTTGTCAATAGTAAGAGAAACAATTGAGACCCTGCAATTGTGTGTAAATGAGGCAGAAAGTCAGATGAGCAACCTGGGACTTGGTCACAATTTTTGTGATGACATATGTTCTTTGACTTTTCCATTTTTTATTCACGGTTTCTGTGCTGGTTCATATTTATTTACTAAAGTGGTTAATGTTTTAAAGCAAATTCTATTGAAATATGAATGGCAAATGAACAAAAATGAATAGAGGGACTTAAATGAAGTAGGTTAGGGAAAGTTTCTTTGAAAATGTATGTTTTATTTCCGTAGACTTTATGTACTATTAACCTACTTTTTCGCTTATCCGTCGGCCCCTTCCCCCCATATGTGGTCGGTTAATCGAGGTTTTACTGTAAATCATTGATAAAAAGAAGGAAGAGAGTAGGTGAAAGAACAGAACCCTGTGGGGCACCACTATTGGTAGAGAAAGAGCGAGAGATCAATCCCTCGACAAAACTGCCATGGATCGGTTCTCAAGGAAGCTAGAAATTTTAGAATAAAGTGGGGGAGGGAAACCATAAGAGGGAAGTTTAGAAAGCAAAGACTTGTGCCATACCCTGTCAAATGCATTGGAGATGTCGAGGGCCATGAAGAAAGTTTCCCCATAATCCTTAAGAGAGGATGACCAAAGATGGATGCAGTAGGAGACAGCTGATCACCAGTAGATCTCGCTTGACGAAAGCCATACTGATGATGCGACAAAAGAGAATGGCGTTCAAGGTGACGGAGAAAATGAGAGTTTAAGATAGATTCGAAAATCTTAGAGAGTGATGACGTTAGGGCAATGGGGTTATAATTAGAGGAAGTGGAATGGTCACCCTTCTTCAGGATGGGCTGAATCAAGGCATGCTTCCAAGAAGAAGGAAAAGTTTGGGCTTTGAGGCAATGGTGAAAGAGGCAAGCAAGTACAGGGGCCAGAGCTTCAGCACACTCCCTCAGAACACGAGAGGGTATTCC